CCAACTGAGCCACCCAGGCGCCCCATATGCTAACTTCTGTTTTTAGCAACTGCTTGAAAATTTGAAATTCTTCCCATGCAAAAAGTAAAAAAAAGGGGGGGGGGGACCTGCAGGGCCCATCCACCTGCCCCATTGTTCTTTCCTCATTCTTGCCCCCTGCGCCCCCTCCATGCACCAGCCGCACCAGCCTGGCGTGTTCCTCCGCCTTCCCCTGGGGTCTCTGCCTGTGGCCTCCCCCTGCCCGGGATGCTGTTCCCGCAGAACTTAGGCCAACAACCTCTCTCTTCCTGCAGATCTCAACAAAACGTCACCTCGTCACAGAGGCCTTCCTGACCCTCCAGTTTAGAGGCGGTCCTCTCCCTCCCGGCCCGCTCTTCCTTCCTTTCTAGTTCTTACTACAGTCTGCAGTTAGGTGTGTTTGTCCAGCCCGCTAGACTGGAAACCCCCAGAAGGCGAGGCCGTGCCTGTTTGCTTCGCTCCGCTGTTCCCCAGCACCTGTTGTGGGAGTGGCCGGGGAGACTCTCAGTCAGTATGTGTGGCGGAATGAATGATGACTGGTGTGTCACCCCGCAGCACCCAGGGGTGCCCGCTGAGCAGCAACCCAGGAGCCCCAGGTGGGACTTCCTAGTCAGGGGAGGCTACAGCCCCTCCCCAGTCCGACACCTCCTGCCCCCGGGGTGGAGGGCCTGGCCGAGGTAGGGGCAGCAGTTCTGATGCTACAGCGTCCTAACCTTGCCTGCCCCCGGCTGCCCCATCTGTACCCCCCCCCAGGTCTCCCTGGGGCCCAGGCCATGGCCACAGCCCCCTTGGCTAGTGGCCACCTGGAGGCGGCTTAGGGAGGAGGCACTGGCCCAGTGCAGGGTGGGGGTGGGGGCATGCCAGCTGAAGCAAGAGAGCCGTGGGTCTCACCCCAGTGTGGTGCTCGGAGCTGCTGTCTGGAGACCTGTGCGAATTTGCACGAACAAACAGCAGCTTGGTGTAGCTTTCACGATGCGCGCAGCTGATTTCGTGTATTATCGCGTTTCCTGGTTTATCACGTTTCCAACTGTTGTGGGGGAATCTGAGCTAATGCGTGTGAGTCACCATATGCGGCATTATGGTTATTCTTGGAAGAACGGATGGGTGGCAGACTGGAGGAGAGGTGTGAAAGAGGGAGGTGACGCTTTCAGACTACAGTTCCAGCGGCAGGGAGGGGAGCTGGATGTGGAGTGGGAGGGAGGGGCTGCGTCTGGTGCTGGCCTAGGAGTTGAGAGGACCACGGTGGGGTGGGGGAGTCGTGAGGGTGGGCAGGGCAGATGGGAGGAACGGAGCCTGGCTGGGCGGGGTGAAGCGGGGACCTGAGCCCGGGGTGGGGGTGGGGGGCAGGCCGGCAGATGGAGCTGTGAGTCAGAATGTGGGCACAGTGAGGGGGAGAGAGCAGCTGAGAGCTGGCTTGCCTTTGAAGCTAGCAGGCCGGACAGGGAAGGCGCGGGCAGGGGGTGGGAGGAATCCCTGGGAAGAGGCAGTCACAGAGGATGGGGGCCTTTCGGCTGTTTGGTGGCAGAGAGGAACCATGTGGGCAGGGGTGGGTACGGTGGAGGGGGCCCTCCTGGGGGATAGCTGCAATTTCAGGGCTGCCTGAGGCTCTCCCCTTCTCAGTGCACCATCCCTGCCTGCCCCCCTCACCAGTTCTCTGTCCTCCGTGACTCCCCTCTGTCCTCCTGACCTCTCTGACTGTCTCTGGGGGGGGGGGCATGTCTCTTTCTTCTGCCCCCCCCTCAGGCACACAGATGCCAGCTTCCCTCTCCTTGGGCACCTCCCTGTTCATTCTCTTGTTCCCTTTCTGTTTATCTCCCAAACTGGTCCCAATTTAGAACCCCAATCTACCAGTTCATTAATTCATGTTTTATAAAGTTTGGTGCTACCTAGAGTGCTTTTACTAGTAATGGTTTGAAGGTCCCAATTGTGTGACCTTTGGGAAGGACATCATCTCTCGGATCTTCAGTTTCTTTTTCTGTGGAGTGGGGTTAGTCCGTGAGCTTGGGTAGTGCTCACCCCAGAGCTCTGTGGTTCACATTTAATGACTTCATCCAGCCCTGGGTAGAGGCCTGGCTCTTTAGCAAATTGATCAATCATATTAGTTACTATTTCTCTTTTTCTCTTTCAAGGCTGTCCTTGTGTTTTGCACTGAGTTGGCGACTTGCTGTAGATCAGTGGACGTTGGTGAGACACCGTCCTTTCCCCCCTCTCTTTCCCCAGCCTGGGGTGACACAGCAGTCCTGCGCCACCCAGAATCTGTCCTCTCTACCCCGGGGGCACCCTCCCCCTGCACCGCCCCCCATGGGGCACAACTGGCAGGCTGGCTTGCAGCCACGAGAACTGCCACAAGGGGGCACAAGCGGTTCTCACTCGCCCCTTCTCCACCCCCTTCCTAGCTCCCACTCTCCGCCGCCTCCAGGATGGTTCCCCAGTGAAGCTGGCCTTGGCTCTGAAATCTCTGAAATCTGAGGACAGAGTTTCCCCGGGCCGCTGGACCATAGCAGCTTCCAACCCCCCTGCTGCATCGGCACAGAAAGCGTGGAGCCCTGCCTGGTGCAGGCTGGTGCTGCTCCCTTCCCATTCTCTGCAGGCCAGCCCAGCCCAGACTTGCTTTTGAGGCCTCCTGGCCAGGCCCTCACTTCCCCAAGGCTCTGTGCCCACCTCTCCCACACCGCAGAGCCGACCACAGAACCACCCCATCACCGCACAATCTCCTGGCAATGGTGCAGAGGCCCGGAAAAGCAGGTGAGCTGTGGGGTGGGAGGGCTCAGCCAGTCCCCACCTATGTCACTGGCGCCGAGAGAGTTGGGCACATCTCTGAGGTCCACCTCGGGCACCACGAGATGGAAGGAAATGCCCTGCCTGGCAGAGCTTGCAAAAAGCACTCGTAAGTGGGGAGAGCACAAAGGAATTTAAATGCTAACATCGTTGAAACTAACATTCAGGAGACACTCCTTGGCTATATCTCTAAAGAGATGCTGTCCCTCCACTCACATACCTTCTGCGCCGGAGCACTCACTCCCCTCTGAGGACGCTTGGTACCAGCATTCACTGTCCCCTCACTTCTTGCCCCCAGATGTGCCCTACCAGTCATCTGCCCTCTTCAGTTTTCCTGGAGATCCAGTGCATTAAATAACATTCCCACTTCACAGATGAGCATACCGAGGCTCGCTGCATTTAGCGATGGACCCGGGTCAGTTTAATTCCCTCTGAGACTAGTGGGAATGGAGCTGAGCTGAGGTGTAGGTCCCAGGAGGGCAGCCAGCCTGACAGCTGTGGCTTCATGAAACAGTCTTTCGGGCGTTGAAACTAGGGCATCCCCTGCCCTGGGTCATCTCCTAGAAATGTGTCCCGCTCCCCCTTCAGTCTTTGCAGGAAGTTTCAGGAGCCCAGACTCTGAGGGCTCCTCCTCAAGCCAACCTCCCCCGGACACTGCCAACAGCCACGGAGGCCCCAGAGCACCAGCCCGTGAGGAAGCTTTCTGTCCAGCAGTCAGGGCCTGGACAACAGGCCTCCGGGGGCACCGTCAGGGCAGGTCCCCAGCTGGCTCGGTGCCTGCCGCCTGCCCAGGGGCCCATGCCTGGGGAGCAGTCCTGAGGGCCTCCTGAGCCCCAGCCTGAGCCAGCTAGAGCTGGACTCTTCTGGAAACCAGAGATGCCCGGCAGGCTCCACTAATCCCCCCGGCAGGAATGAGGCCCACACAGGTGTTGTGCTGACAGCCTAGAGCCAAGAACCCAGGAGGTACCACAAGGGCATGCCCTCAACCCAGGCCCCTGGGAATTGCCACACTGGAGCCCCACCTGCGCCGGGAGGCCCCATGCCCTCCAACTCCTAACCGTAACCACCATGACCAGGTAGACCAGAGAAGGGTCAGGCGGCGGGAGGGAAAGGGGAAAGGCGAGCCTGGAGGAAGGAGAGTGAAGGAGAGGAGCCCAGGGTTCCTACGCTGGCTCTCTGGATTCCCTAGTCACTCCCCTTCTCTGGCCTTAGTCTCCTTGTCTGTAATATGGGGAGTCCCGACACTGCCTTCCTTCTGGGGTGGTGGGGGTGTCAAAGGAGAGAACGCACGTCTGCTAGCTTGCCGTGTTGCCATTACTTGCCAAGGAATCCCGAGGCCAAGAGTCTCTCCCTATACTCCTCTCCTCTCTGTCCCTTCCTGCATGATGACCAAGAGCTTCCCAGCACCCACAGGGGAAATGACAGGAGAAACGCAAGCCCTCCTTGATGGCTGGGGCTGTCTTGTCCCTCTTAGCAACCTCCCTCCTGTCCCTTTCACAGGCCCTACCCTGTGCCATTCTGCACCACTCACGTGCTCCCCGCATGCCTGCCCTGCTTCCCCCCGCCTCCCTGTCCCATTACCTTCCAGGACGCTGTCTCAGATCTCTGCTGCCCAGAGAACCTGACCCCATTGAGGACAGGGTGTTGGGGTGCTCTCAATGAGTCTGGGAGCCCCTCAGGGTTAGAGACCCAGGATGTGCAACTTGCTCATCCAGAGTGGCCATAAGTCTTGGTCTCTTGGAGGAGTCGGTGGTTTACGTGTGTGTCCTGGCAAATTACTGCAGCACAACTTACCCACCTCCTCACTCTCAGAAGTGTTATTGGTCAATAAATTATATGGCCACCCTATAGGTAAGTGATTGTTGTGTGAATAAATGAAGGTGGAGTATGGAAGGTGGATGTGGATGGAGTGGGGATAGGAGCTGGGGAGATTCGAGGACCACACCCCTCATTGGGAAGGTTCTGTAGCTCCTGTTTTAGGGTTTTGAGACTTTCCACTGCCTGGACTCCTCAAGGACCTATGAACGCCATGGGAGACCTTACCTCCTGTGCTTTGCTGGGAGGCTGGCTTTTTGGCCAAGAGATGAGCAAGAGCCAGAGCAAAGGAGTGGAACAGGCAAAGGAGGATCTCAAGCTGGTCTGCCTCTCCATTTGCCGGGTCAGTCCAAGGAGAGAAAAGGTGGGCAGTGAAGGGCAGATTTGGAGTCTAAATGCTAAGGCCTCAGCTGTCAAGATCTCTTAAAACACGACCCCGAGCGGAGCCCAGTAGAGGCTGTGGTCTCAACCAGCACAGGGTACACCCCCGCCTCCATCACCTCCCTTCTTCTAGGCACCATATTTCTATTAATGTAGCCTGGGGTTGCGGTAGCTTTTTGGCAGCCATTTAATATGGCTGGCTCCCACTGAGTTGGCAGCCTCCTCACCCTTGTCTTTGTTCATTCAGGCCATCATCTTGAATGTATGCAGTTATTTATTTGGATCTAAGTGAAATGTTATTTCTGGAGGTAAAGACTCCCATTCCTGAGGGTATTCAAGCCACGGAGGGAACGCCGGTTGGCGTGGGTGGCTGTTGCCAATGAGCTTTAGGGTCCCTGCCGAGATTAACAGTCCATGACCATGTGAGCACCAACAAGTTGGAATGATTGTCATTGGCTGCTGGTGGATGGTGTGGGCAGTCAGAAAGCACACGGGTATGGAAAGAGCCCTGGGCTGAGAGTCTGGAGGTTGGGCCGACCTGAGTGACCTTGGGCCAGTTTTTCCAACTCCTGAGTCCTAGGGCATCTGTGCTTAGTGTTCCTCCAGTAATTGCTCCCTTAGGAAGTGAGAGCTCCGTGGCCAGGGCCGTGAGCTCGACGAGCACGGTCTCACGCCAACCTCACCCCTGCCCCGTAAGGCAGATGTGGAAATGGAGTCTCAGCGAGGTTGACATGAGCCTAAGGCCACCCACCTGGTCAATGGCGGAACCATGACAGAAGTAAGGTCTGGTGATTCCAAAGCCAGGCTCTTAACCACAGTATCACAGATACCAGAGAATTCAGGATGTTCCTTCTTCCTCTCCAAGCCAGGAGAGGGTGGGTGCCAGGGTCCCACACACCTCTCCTCGCAGCCACCTGCAGCCCTTGGCATGGGACCTACCCCCTTATGTGGAGAGTACGGGTCCAGCTGGACAAGGGAGCCAGGGTCACCCCCTGGTTGGTGACTGAGATGGGTCTCGGGTCTTTGGAGGACAAGTAGGGCTCTCTGGCAGGGAGGTTGGAAGGCTCTGATGGCCCCCGGAGTAAGCTCCCCCGGGTGAGTTTTCCCTATTTCTTTAACGCAGGGAAAAGGAGCTGGGGCGCACGCAGGTGGCCCTCTCTCAAGCGTGCTCTCCAGAGACTGGCGGGGGCCGGGTGGGGAGGCTGAGTGGGGAGGGCCAGGGGGCTGTGGGCAGCTTCTCCTCCTCCAGCACCTCCCCCCCACCCCGCCCCGTTCCCGAGCAGCAGGCTGCGCAGGTGCAGCGAGGCAGGGCTCTGCGGGGCGGCGGGGACCTGCCGGGAACGCCTCTGGCGGGCGTGCGGGGTGGCCGGACTTACTCGGGTAGCGGTAGTAGAATTCGTTCTCCAGGTCGCTGGTGAAGTTCTCTTGCATCTTTCTGTTGGTCCAGTGAGGGTCAGCGTCGGAGTCGTAGCGCACAAACACGCCGAAGAGGACCACCAGGGCCACCTGCAGGAGCAAGCAGGTGACTGGCAGCCGCCAGCGGAGATTGGTGTTCCAGACCATGCTGCGGGGGGCGCCTGGCGGGGAGGGCAGCAAGCAGTTCGGACTGACGCTCGCAGGCGGGAGAGGCTTATAAGACCCGGGCAGGGGCGGGGCGGCCGCGTCGGGTGGCGGAACAGCTGACCCGGGTGCCGCCCGCGCGCTCGCCCAACCGGCGAGGGGACCCGCGGGCTCGGGGCTCGCCTCCACCCGGCCCCCCCCCGAAGCTCCCCCGTCGGGGGCCCAGCGGCGGGAGCAGGGGCCGAGCGGGCAGGTGGGCGGGGATCGAGGCGCCCCAACCTCTGCGGATCCCCTCGGTACCCGGGCCGCAGGTCTGTCCCCTTTTGTTCCGGACCCGAGACAGAAAAAGCCGGATTGTCTGCCTCCTACCGAGAGAGAGGAACGGAAGAATTCCTAGACGGCGCTCTTCATCATCAACAGCACCAACAGCATCACCATCCCTTTCTTTTTCTGATCACAAAATTCACACAGGGTACGTGAAAAACCAGCAAAGGCTAAGACCTGCTTGGAGAAGCTTGGAGAGGCGTGACCGCTCATACAATCCGTATCCTGGAACAGAGAGAGGATGTTAAGGGAAAAACTGGTGAAATCCACATAAAGTCTGAAGTTTGGTTAATAGCGTCGTGCCCATGGGGGTTTCCTGGTCGTGACAAATGTACAGGGCTTATGTGAGATGTTAGCAGGGGACACTGGGTGCCGGGTAAAGGGGAACTCTGTACTATCTTTGCAACTTTTCTGTAAATCTAAAATTATTCCTGAAAATAGGGTATTAAGAAAAATTATATATATATATATATATACACACACACATACATATATATGCTTATCAGAACAGTTGAGATTTTCACAGTTCATTGAGCTTACTCAGGAATTATCTGTTGGTCAATACGTGTGACCTTGACATGAGGAGGTCATAGAATTTAAGTTAAATCTATGCTTACGTCTATATTTTGTCAAAATAAATTTGATTCTCTAATTTTTCTTTAAAAAAGTATATTGTAGGGGCGCCTGGGTGGCTCGGTCATTAAGCGTCTGCCTTTGGCTCAGGTCGTGATCCCAGGGTCCTGGGATGGAGCCCCGCATCGGGCTCCCTGCTCCGAGGGAAGCCTGCTTCTCCCTCCCCCACTCCCCCTGCTTGTGTTCCCTCTCTCGCGCTTTCTCTCTCTCTGTCAAATAAATAAATAAAATCTTTAAAAAAAAAAAGTATATTGTAGAGATTTTGGAAAATACAGAAAGCCCTAAGAGGAAACAAGAAAACCACCTGTAATTCCTCCACATAGAGGCAACACTGACATGAGAAAGAGGAGGGAAAGAGAGATTCATTCCGTAATACTGATTTATAGCTGCTTTATCTGCTTAATATTTTGTAGACATCTTCCCATATTCTTGTTCTTCTACACCATTTTTTTAAAAGATTTTATTTATTTATTTATTTATTTATTTTTCAATATCTTACATTTTTATTTATTTTTTTTATTCTTATGTTAATCCCCATACATTACATCATTAGTTTTAGATGAAGT